TGTACCTGAACAGGAGCACACAATATTTTGTATTGGTTTGAGTGATATATTTAACTTTTGAGAGGCATGTCACTGGCCAAATTTACAAAAGGAGAAACAACCAGCTCAGAATTTAAACAGAATTTGAATGTCATTAAAATTCAGTTAACCAAATCTTGTTTCTATTTTGATTATTTTATATTTGATAATTTTTCCCTCCTATCACATTAAAAGTTACAATTCTTAATATGACAAAGATACAATTTGCTGTGATTCTTGGGAGTGGTCTGGGTACCACCACATGAAGATTTGGGCTGTTGGGGGGGTGTAGTTGCATGCAATAGCAATAGCACTTAGACTTATATACCGCATCATAGTGCTTTACACCCTCTCTGAGCAGTTTACAGACTCAGCATATTGCCCCCAACAATCTGGGTCCTTATTTTACTGACCTTGGAAGGATGGAAGGCTGATTCAACCTTGAGCCGGTGAGAATCGAACTGCTGGAGTGAGCAGTGAGTTAGCCTGCAACCATCCCAAGATCTCAAATGATGCACCCCAAACTGGGAGAAGAAATGACAGTGGGGTGACATGATTGCTGTCTCAATGGCTGCTAATGTTGCCTTCCTGTGGCTTGAAAAATCCATTGGCTTCAGATGAATGTTGTCAAGCCTGGTTGATTGCAACAAAGAAATTCTCGGCTTCATAGGTAACATTTGGCAGATATACTAAAGATCATTAGTTCAGTCACTGGCCTTTGCAGTAATAATTTCTATAGCTGGAAAAGATCCCTTTTCTTGAAGTGTTGTGACTGCCAATCAAAGCAAAGACAAGGAAAACACTGGTTGACATGCTATTCTAAGCTATTAACAGATTAACAGATTAACAGAGTTGGAAGGGACCTTATAGGTCATCTAGTCCAACCCCCCGCTCAAGCAGGAGACCCTACACCATTTCTGACAAATGGCAGCCCAATCTTTTCTTGACAGTCTCAAGTGATGAAGCTCCCACCACTTCCGAAGGCAACCTGTTCCATTGGTTGATTGTTCTCACTGTCAAAGTTCCTCCTCATTTCTAGGTTGAATCTCTCCTTGGTCAGTTTCCATCCATTATCCCTTGTCTGGCCTTCAGGTGCCTTGGAAAATAGCTCTATCCCTTCCTCTCTGTGGCAGCCCCTCAAATATTAGAACACTGCTACCATGTCTCCTCTGATCCTTCTCTTCACTAGACTAGCCATGTCGAGTTCCTGTAACCGTTCTTCATATGTTTTAGTCTCCAGTCCCCTAATCATTCTGGTTGCTTTTCTCTGCACTGTTTCTAGAGTCTCAACATCTTTTTTATAGTGTGGTGACCAAAACTGGATGCAGTACTCTAGGTGTGGTCTTACTAGGGCTTTTAGAGTGGTCTTAGTACCTCATTAAACCTATGACTTGTTTAACCATGGTTTATTGAATAAACTACAATTGATTGAGTCCACACAACACGCTAAGCGACGACCATCCCTTATACTTCAAAATGATTGGTTTGGCATTGAGATTGAGATGGGCAGCCATAGAAATTGAACAAATAACCAAATCAATAAATAAATTCTGAAATAGCATGCTGAATGGTCCCCTTCACAATAAATCAATTTCCTTATGTTGAGTGTGTGGCTAGCACACCAACTGTGCAGAAATAGCTTGGATGGTGACTGTGGTATTGTTAAGTACCTAGATGTATTATCACCACACTTCTTGCCTTTGTCATTTCATTTTTTCTGCACTTCCTCCACTCCATTAAATCCAATGGATTTTCCTTTTTTTTTTTTTTGTAGGTTCATAGTGGAAAAGCCAATGGACTTTTGCTTTTTTGCCCAAGATATAATTGATTTATTGAATCACTACAAGGAGATTCAGTAAGGGGATTGTATGAAATAAATAAAATCTTGAAAGGAAGTCTCATCCGGAACAATTTCATGGAATTTTTTTCTTAGGAGGCAGTACTCCTTCTAAAGGTCAATTGGCCTCACAGTCTTATTAATGTGTTCTCCCATCCTTGAAACAGGAGGCGAATATATAGCCAGAAAACAATTTCCCAAGCACCTTTTTTATGCATTACAGGAAGAAGGCTTGTTGCGTTCCTGCTCTCACCACCGGCCTTGTATCCAAGGTGTTGGCTTGTTCCAATATTTGAGGGGTTGCCACAAAGAAGAGGGAGTCAAGCTATTCTCCAAAGCACCTGAAGGCTGGATAAAAAAGCAATGGATGGAAACTAATCAAGGAGAGAAGCAACCTATACCTAGGGAGAAATTTCCTGACAGTTAGAACAATTAACCAGTGAAAATGGTTTGCCTTCAGAAGTTTTGGATGCTCCAAGACTGGAGGTTTTTAAAAAGAGATTGGACAACCATTTGTCTGAAATGGTAAAGGTTTTCCTACTCAGGTTCTCCTACTTGAGTCAAGGTTGACTCAGCCTTCCACCCTTCCAAGGTCGATAAAATGAGGACCTAGATTGTTGGGGGCAATATGCTAACTCTGTAAACCGCTTAGAGAGGGCTGTAAAGCACTATGAAGTGGTATATAAGTCTAAGTGCTATTGCTACTTCAGCAGTGGGTTGGACTAGAAGACCTCCAAGGTCCCTTCCAACTCTGTTATTCTGGCTATGGCTAGGAAAGTGACTGGCCCAGAGATTGACAGTGCTGCTCCTCTTCAGGTGCATTCTTCATCCACCTGCACTGCTAGCTCCACTTCCTGGGCTACCCCATGATGCTACTGCAGCCCCTTCTGTCCCTCCCTCTGGTGGGGCATTTTATTTTTGAGCTTTTGAGTCAGTATTGACTCCTGGCAACTGTCTGGACAAGTAATCTGATAATATCTGTCCTGCCTCAGATTTAAAAAAAATTGGTTATTCTTTAGGCATGATTGCTTAAGGTATGCAAAGCATTTCTAAACTGTTTTTGCGCATGTATAAGTAGCCAAAACAAGTCTTTAAATACACCATCACTCATAATTCTTACTCAACAGACTAATTCTGGCAATTAATCAATTCATAACTCTTGACTTTTTTAGAGACACAGCAGGCTGTATGCAGATGAGCAATTCTATCATTACTGGTGCTTAAAAAAATGCATAGTTTGGATATTTGGCAACTTAAATCACACTAAATCTTAGGGGATTCAATATGAGTTAAGATGCATGCACTCATCACAAATAGACTCTAGGATGTGAGCAGACTGTCAGACTTGCGAAGAAGAAAACACTTGAAAGTGATTTAAATCAGTTTTTTCATCATTCCTAGTAATTCTCTGCTCCTGGAGAATAGAAATCTTCACCCCTTCAGAATGAGGAACCTTCCTAGAAGTGAAAATAACTGGATTGGGAATCGTGCTCAGGAGTTAGAATTTGCAATTCAGCTGCAAGTTAAAAATCTGAATCCTAAATTTAATGTTTCACGTTGAATATAAATTATATATTAGGTTTTAGTGATTATTTTTTTATAGTTCATCACAACCAGTGACTCTGGGTGGCATACATCATAAAAACATAAAACAATTAAAAACAATACAGGATAATTCTATATGATGGTTGATATATGTTATGTATTTAATAACATTCAGAAAAAGTTTCCGATCAAGTCATAACATTGGAATCTAAATGCAGTTTACAAGTTCAAATCTACATTGTAACATTACTCCACTTTATTGGATTGCAATATAAATGTCTAGATTATGCATCTAATTTTTAAAATCACCATAAAATCTAGAAGCATCTGGAATTAGAAATGGACTACAGGTATATCAAGATGAATGAAGAAAATGAAAACAACCACGGACATTTCTCCAATAACTTCTGGTTAAATCTATGGATGAAACAAAAGTCAAACTCTTATAAAAAGAAAGGAAGTGGATCTTTTTTTCCTTTTACAAGGAGGATGGGAAAGAATGATCTACTTTCTATCACCTCCATATTAAAGAAAAAAAAACACTTAATCTCATTCAAAATTCTGCCTCTGAAAAAAGGCAGCTAACCTCTTCTTGGCTCCTTTCTTAAAATGACTCCATCCTGTTACGACTGCTCTGCTATTCACCATCCTGTATGATGTGGACTTTATTTCTTTAGATAGATAGATAGATAGATAGATAGATAGATAGATAGATAGACAGACAGATAGAGATAGATAGATAGATAGATAGATAGATAGATAGATAGATAGATATTTCTGATTATTCCATTTCAGTGAGACTTCAGAGGAAGGAAAAGAAAGTATACAAATGATTCAAACAAGATAAGACAAGATTAGAGCTAAACAATTCACTGAAAAACGTGGCTGCACAGGGAAAACATATCCCTTTATACAGTCATATTAGTTAACTAGGCTATCCCAAGCAGTTGATTTTGTGTTTTGGTGAAAACGCTGCATTTTTACTTCTGGAGAAGTGCAATTGTTGCATATGGAATACTCTGCCTTCAGTGGTCAAAAATAATTCGACCAACTTTGCGGACAATACATCCCGATTCGAAGGCAAATTTTGTCCGTCTAGGCAAGGGGAAACAAAATCTTGTACCGCAACTCAGCCAGATGTCCAGAAGCAGCCCAACCACCCATCCCCACAAAACGGTAAGGGGCGTCACTGCCCCCCTCCCCTCCCCTCCCCTCCCCCGCAGATGCAGGTTCGTCTACTGCACTATTGGCACAGACTGCTAACAGATCTCCAAGATTTCAGGCAAACTTTCCCAGCCGCGCCAGATCCAACAAGAAAGTCAGAAAGCAAAGCAAAGCGGGCGCTCGCTTTTCTCCCTCCTCCCTCTGAGCCCTTTTCCTCTTCCCTCGATTTTTTTTCTCCCCCCGGGTAGTTAAACTGCATCCCGGGGTGGGGGGGGGGAAGAGAAAGGGATCGACGGCACCCATCAGGAGTTCGGTGGGCCCGTTACGCCGCGCACAGAGGACGAACCGGGAACAGTTCTCCTTCTCGTCCGCCCTCTCCCATTAGTTCTCCACCCCCCCCCCCCCCCCCCCCCCCCCCCCCCCCAAAACCACCTACGATCCGCGGCAGGGGGCAGATGGTGAAAAGGGCCGTCATGAGCGCCAGCAGGACCAACTGGCCCAGCTCCTCGGTGCGCCCGGAGGAAGGGAGCTTGGAAGGCGCGGTTGGGCCCCGCAGGTCGGTCAGGTGGGTCCTGCGCGGGGGCTGGCGACGCGCCATCCGGTAGAGGCTCCTCATGCTGCCCAGATTGCACAGGCCGACGGCCAGCACCAGCAAGCCCAGCAGGCTAGCGTAGAGCACCGAGTAGAGCCGCCCGCCGCCGGCCATGCGAATGAAACACCACGTGCCCGGACAGTACTGAACGTTGCTGCCGAAGCCCAGGAGCGGCAGGGCGCAGAAGAGAGCGCAGAGGACGGCCGCCGCGCCGGTGAGCCGCCCGCCCCAACGCCTGCTGGTGTGGCGTTCGTAGAAGTAAGGCTGGCCGAGCGAGAGCCAGCACTCCAGGGCCATGGCCAGCAGCAGCACGGTGGACGCCAAGCCGAAGAAGGCCATGAGGAAAGCGAAGAGCTGGCACAGCGTGCCGGGGGAGCGCGTCGGGTCCTCCCCGGGCTGGCTGACTTGAACTTCGCTGCTTGCGGCGGGCGGCCACAGGTCGATGAGGCTGCGGTTGTGAGCATAGGCGGCCAGCACGATCGGGCTCAGCGAACACTTGCCCAGCAGGTCGGTGGCGACCAGGGTGCTCACCAGAAGGTAGAAAGCGGACGCCCGCGGCCGCCCTTGCCCGCGCTGCAACTTCGCCTTCAGATGGTGCTGCCACAGCAGCCCCAACGCCAACACGTTGCCCAGCAGCCCCGCCGCGAAGAGCAAGGAGCCCGGCAGCACCGACTGACCTGCTTCGAGCCTCAGGGTCCGGTTGCATCGGTAGCTGCCTGCGGCCATGGGGAGGGTCCGGCTGGGCTGGGCGCAAAGGGCGACGGTGCGCGTAGGGTGTGTGTGTGTCTGGGGGGGGGAGGAGTGGGGACCACGGATAGAGCCCCACTTGTGAAGGGAAGGGAAGGAAACGGAGGGGAAAGACGACCGAGGAGATGCTCGACGCCGCCAGACGGGGCGAGAGTGGGGAGGAAGAAGGGCAGGGAGGTGGGGCAAGACAGGCGTTGGCTAACAGAAAAAGGCCAGTCTATAAGGCGGCGGGGGTGGGGGGAGCTGTTTGTTCCCACGGAGACCGGCGAAAAAAAGTCCTGCCCTTCTTGAGGAAGAGGAGGGGTGGCAAGCGAGAGAGAGAGAAGGAAAAGACTGGGAAGCTGAGAGCAGGCGAAAGTTGTCTGGTAGATAATCTTCTGACCAGAAACCTTGACTTCTCTTAGTCTCAGGTTGATAGAAGCGCTCTCTAGAGTCCCCGACAGAGTTTTGCCAACATCTGAAAATGAGTGAGGTTTTTAGCTAGGCTTCAGCACCGACACGTTGAAGTAGGCAGAGGTCCATGGTCATCGCAACCTCAGTGGAGACCAGAGTGGCGAGTTGGTTGGCTTCCCAAGGCAGATGATAACGGGGCCATCAGAGCGGTGGTGTGGGTTGGAAAGGGATTGGTGTTCCTCCAGTTCTCTTCTCATCACTCTTCTATGGCTCTGGCCCATCTTGCCAACCAGCACTGATGGACAACAAAGGACAAATAGAACAAAGTGCTCTTGCCCTGCCCAATGGAGCTATTTCGGTGCTGAGACCTGTTCAACCAGAGGAGAAGATGAGCAGGTCAAATAGCCAATTAGTTTTCAACACACTTCTGACAGTCATCTAAGAGTAAAGATCTCCTCCATACATATACCTGAAACTTTTAATGACGTAGAACTTAACAGTGATTAGGAAGTATGTAACTGGATACATAACTAAGTTTGAGCAACTAGATGCTTCCAGGAATCCCACAAACATGGCAGAACCCTGATTATTCACTAAGTCTGCATTACTATTAATCTCCTCATCGTTCCTATCACCCATCTCCTCCCACTTATGACTGTATGACTGTAACTTGTTGCTGTATCCTTACAATTTAGATTGATTGTTTCCTAGTATGATTTGATTGCTTATTTGTACCCTATGACTATCATTAAGTGTTGTACCTTATGATTCTTGACAAATGTATCTTTTCTTTTTATGTACACTGAGAGCATATGCACCAAAGACAAATTCCTTGTGTGTCCAATCACACTTGGCCAATAAAGAATTTGATTCTATTCTATTATCCACTTTGACCAATGTGAAAAGAAGGATATATTTTCACCTCTTCTTTTGAAGAAAGACCCATAGCATGTAAGATGTTGGAAGGAATGCTAGTTTCTCCCATGATTTCTGGAGAGGTTCTTGCTGGAATATAGGAGTGTCCTCTTTCCTTGGTGACAGGCAAGACAATAACATTTATCTTCAACAGGAGGCCTAGCAATACCAGATTGGGAGCTCTACTATAAGGCATCAGGGCTGACCTGGATTAAAGAATGGATGAAACTGGACAACAAAAGAACCCTATACTTAGAAGGCTTCGATTTAATACGAGGATGGCATGCTTTCTTATGGGACGGACCGGACAAACGACACATGTATTTCCAACGTCATATAATTCGAGCTTCACTATTTAAGATTTGGCAGGAAATTAAGAAAAATCATTATACCAGAGTACCAAAATGGTGGTCCCTGATGGAGGCATTGATATATCCAAACACTCTCGAAATAGGAAAGATGATGCGGTACCAAGACCTATTAAACCAGGAAGGCGAACTCATCTCAAGACAGCAACTTCAAAATTCTGGCATAAATATCGATTGGTGGCCCTATACCCAAATACACTCAAGACAAACAGCAGACAAAAAACAATATGGAATCTCGAATAACCTGAATGAATTGGACAAGATTTTACAAGGGGCAGAACAAAAGATGATAACCAAAATATACAACTATCTTCTTAGATACAAATTATTAGAAGAAACAGTAAAAGAAAACATGATAAGGTGGGCTAGGGACATAGGGCACAACATTCTATTGGCAAATTGGGAGAAATTGTGGAAACAAAACATTAAAATGACAAGAGCCACATCCTATAAAGAGAACCTTATCAAAATGTTTTACACATGCACCTAGCACCAGCCAGATTAGCCAAAATATACCTGAACGCCTCCTCACTCTGTTGGAAGTGTAAAACAAAAAAGGGGACATATTACCATGCTTGGTGGAAATGTACGAAGGCCCAACAATACTGGCAAGACATAAAGGAAACTATTGAGGAAATAACAAACCTACAAGTAGAAAACACTCCAGAATTCTTTTTATTTGGCATGATAACAGCACAATACACCAAAGAGACAAAATATCTTATTATACATATTCTGACAGCAGCACGATTACTGTTCGCTCAAAATTGGAAATTAGATCAGCTCCCAACCAAAGATAAAATAATCTCAAAGATAACAGAATGTGCCGAAATGGATAGATTGACGCTGGAACTCCAGGATAAGGAAGAAAGTGAATACTATCTTGTGTGGCACCGATGGTACCAATGGCTGGAAAGGAAAATCAGTACAAATGTAGATGACAGAAAATAGGGTGAAAAATTAAAAATAGGAGACGAATACAAGGAAGATGCAAGATTATCTTTAATTTAAAACATTTGAACCAAGAATTTACTACTTCTTTACTAATTTATAAAGTAATATAATATATATTCTGTTGATGACTAAAACATGTATGTAGAATGTGGTGTGGGTAAGTAGGTGGTGGGATTTCGTTTGTCTTTGTATTGTCTTCATATTTTTGTTTATAATTCAATAAAAAATATTAAAAAAAACACATTTATCTTCAACATTGTCAACTGCTTTTGTTTCTACAGTGCCTCTAGAAGCTTAGATGAGAAACCAATATTAAGGATTTAAGTACTGATGGAGTTTTGGAGCCATCTCAATTCTGAAAGACATCAGCATTCTGCAGGTTTTTGTGTTCCTTGAAGTGCAAGAAAATCTGAACTTAGCTAGTGGATCATCAAATTGGTTTTACAGTTGACTTTTTCATTAACAAAATGACATATTCTGGAAGCAATTGTGGGTAATATAGAATGGAGAAGAAAAAACACAATTGTGTACCTTTGCTCTCTCTCTTCCCTTTTCAAATTATTTTCTTTTAATGCAGAAAAAGAAAAGAAATGAATTCTGTGACCCAGAATGAGTAAAGAAAAGGCAATTACCGAGAAACAGAATGTATTGTATAGTAAGTGTAATAGTACAGTTACATAGCCAAAAGACTGGATTTGTTTTCTGCACTTTTCTTGTTAAAATAGTATTATTTCTAAGGGTGATTATGAGTGGGCATATTACAAGACATTGCTGGATTATAATATGTTGCAGTGCTAAGGGTGTATCTTTTACACTGATAAAGAATTCAATAGGTCTTGCCTAATTAAGATAATTCCAAACTGGAGGGTGGAATCTTGTTGGGATTTACTTTTTCTTAACATTTGGTAAACTGGTAGTCAAAAATCACCCTTGTCCAACTTGATGGTTACCAGAAACATTGGAATTCGACTCCCATATTTCCCAGAAGTCAAAACACTAAAGTTTGAGATGCACAGATGTAATTCAGTGGTTTCAATAAAGTTGGTGCAAGGCACAAAATATTTAAGGTGATAAGATAAATAGCTAAACTGTAAAGACCCAGGAGAAGTGCCTTCTCTCTTCTCTCTCTTCTGCAACAGCATATCTTCTGCAATCTGAAGGGCTCTGACTCTGCTGGTCTTTTGCAAGGTTTTGGAAGATCTGGTTCTTCTCAGTCAATTGAGACCTGATGTTAAAGAGCCTATTTTTAAAGGATTGATCAGTAGGTATGTGAGTAGCTTTGGGAGCAATATGTTTTCTTTAATTGTTTATTATTTAGCTTCCCCAAGTCACATTACCAAATAAATAGAACCAATAAATTAATAAATGACAGTGGAGATAAAAATGGAGAACTGGATTGTCCATCCTGTTAGTTCCGTTGGGGTCAGGATTCAATTTAACTAGCTCTTAAAGATCATATACTGTAGCAGGACAGAATGGAAGGAAGAGAAGCTGCTTTGGGGAGGATGCAGAGAGCAAGTTCAGAAACAGCCCCCTCCCCCAACTTTAAGGATGGGGGGATAGAAGCGGGAAGAGAGAAAGAAGAAAAGAAGGATGTTTGGAACCAACAGACTGAGACGCCCCCTTTGCTAAAATGTATCTTGTGAACAAGAGAAACACCAAGCTTTGGGTGAAGAATTCTGGAACGTTGGTTGGTTGGTTGGTTGGTTGGTTGGTTGTGTTGGCCAATATGGAGAAGTTGGAAGTTTCAACTATTCAGAAAGTCACCTGATTTGAGAGTTCGTGGGAGAATTGGGGATGAGTCAGGTGAAAGATGATCTCAGAGAAGGCAATTTGGCCCAAGAGGTGAGGGATCAGGAAAAAAATTGCCTTAAAGAGACCCCAACTTAATTCATTCTATCTGAGGCTGGGAAATTTCTATTCTGTAGAGTTTCCAAGATTTGGTACCTACCCCAGACTAGCTCTAAAGTATTTACTGGAATTGTGACTTGTTGCTTCCTTGCACTTGCCAGCTATGTGGGGCTCTACACCCAATGTATATGATGGAGGGAGAATCCTGCTGAGATGGTCAAGCAGAGAAGAGTGGCAGTCTAACTCAGAAGGAGGGAACTTGGAAGACAGTGAGAACTTTTCCATGAAATTTATGCTAAGGCATATCACAGTTTGCATGGGAGAAGGAAGGGTTGGTTTAGTGCAGGGGTCTCCAACCTTGGCAACTTTAAGACTTGTGGACTTCAACTCCCAGAGCTTTGTTGGCGAGGAATTCTGGGAATTGAAATCCACAAGTCTTAAAGTTGCCAAGGTTGGAGACCCCTGGTTTAGTGTATATTGGTCTTTAAAGTTCTGTTGCATTGGACACGTTGCATGAGAAGCCAATGGTTAGCTCTGAGCTCATCTCCTTGTTGGGCACTGGGGATTCATTTCCCTTGAATTCAATAGTTTAGTGCTGTTTAATTTTATGAATGCACCTATGTGCGATTCAAACAACTGAACTCTTATGAAAAAACTTTTGGTGAAGAGGGAGAAAGGGGAAGAAGAAAGGAAGCATCAGCCCTTAAGGTAGGTCAAATCAGGACACAGGCAGAGCAAGGAATTCAGGAATACACTTTTATTCTTGCAGGGTATAATAAAGACATCTTAAAAGCTTGCCCAAACAAGCCTGTACTCTATTGATGCCAAGCAGAATCAAGGTAGGGTTATTT